CTTCTTCGTTATTTCCCTTCTTTTATTTAGCTACTCGTGGCTTACTTTATTAATTATATTCTTTGATACATTTCATTTCTATTATTTAATTTTGTTTTTATCGTTGTTGGAAGAGTAATGTTATTCTCAACCTGTGGTATATTTTGTATTATTCTTGACTGGAAATATAATTTGTACTAACATTTAGTTGATGCTGTTGAAAGTCTATTTAATAATGTTTTACATATTCATTTTAAATTTTTACGTTATTTTTTATTTGTGTTATTTCAGTTTTATTTAACAATAAATAACTTTTTGATATGTACATATACTTAAATGAATAGTTGTTCATGTTAAAAAAAGTTATGAAAAGGGTAATAAGAGAGGTTTAAGAGTAGTTAAACTGTAATAAAAGGTAGTTAATTAAACATGGAATGAAAGAAAAATTGAAACGATACATTTTGTTCTAATTGGTAAGGGTTTTGTAAAGCATAAATGAATAATTGGATAAGTTGGTAATGTTCTTTGATAGAAACAATATTGAGGAGATTGTTTTCAATGAGTGGTTTTTTGTTAAGTTTTTTCAATTGTTTTTCAAGGATAAAGATGCATGGAATAAAGCTTTCTGTTGAGAGTAAAGAGTAAATTGCATTTTTATAGGTGTCATATCGTTTCACAGGGGAGAATAAAGCAAAGCTATTTGTTAATTGTTGTTCAACTTCATGAGATAATAATTGAGATAAATCCTTATTTGTTTTTGTTAAAAATAAGAGTTCTTCCAAGATGATATATCCCATATTAAAGTCATTAAGAGCAATACAAAATTTAGCAACTTCTAAAAAGAAAGAAAATGTCTCAAGAGAGGTAGTGTGTTTTTGAATAAGACACTTTACACCAGTTAGTTTTGAGATATATTTGTTAATACAACAACTGTTGCAATTATAGAATTGGATTGGTTGGATTACATTAAACATTGAAGAGTCAAAGAAAATTAATTGCTGAGCAACAATTAAAGGATGAATAGTGAAAAGGTTTTCACGATTTACATCTTGAACTTCATTGATATTTTCTATATATTCAGTTCTTCTTTCATCAGATGATTTAGACTTTTTCTGTTTTTTCTCTTCTTTTAAAGAAGGGGTGATTGGAGAAACTTTTTTTGTTTCACCTATAACTTTATTGTTTAATATTTCAATAACTGACACAGTGAAAGAATTCGAATACATTCCTGTACAGAAGTAATGTTTTACTTCACTAGCAATTTCTTCGTCCAAAGATTCTTTTTTTGATAAAACTCCAAGAATAAGTTTTTCTAGTCTCATTAATTCCATACTATTTTCAGTGTTGACACTTTGATTTAAAAAATCCTTTTTAATTTTTTTATGATATTCAAAACACCAACGAAGAATAGTAAGTGAGTCACTGAAAAATGGATATGATTCAGTAAAAAAAGTAATTAAATCATCACTTCCTAATATTTCATGGAGACAAACTAAGAAGAATTTTTTAGGGGATATTTGAATGATAAAACCATCTTCATTATAACAAGGATCTCCATTAGAATCAAAAATATATTCTGAGTTATCAAGTAAAGTTTGAATAAAAGATGAAGCTTCTTTAAAATTTTGATTATTCAATAAATAGTATTGAAATAAAGAGTCATCAATATATCCCAGTTTGACACAATTAACAAGACAAGCTAATACTTCTCTTTTAACTCTCGGAAGACACCAAACATATTCTCTAATAAATTTTAAATCATTTATTATAAAATCTTCAAATAGAACCAAATTGTTATTCTTCCATGTCTGTCTCCATTTTTTACTTGTTCCATCATTCTTAATATCTATAAGTATATCTTTCCATATTTGAAATATTTCAGAATCAGTACATGTAGATTGTTTTTTCCTTTTATCATCATTATAAAAGAGCCTACATACTTTTGATAATTTAGAAGGGATTTTACGTAAAGAACAATTTGTATGTTGGTCTGGAGTTGTTATTAATGGAGTTTGTGGATTTTCTTGGTTAGAAGATGTTATGGTTCTTAGAGTTTGATGGCTTGAACGAGAACTTTTTGAACGATAAGGAGAATGAATAGGAGAAGATAGACTCCCAAGACATGGTAATGACTGGGCAACAGATAAATTAGTATGAAGAGGAGGAACAATAGACTTAGGTGTAGTTTTTTGAAATGGATTACGGGTAATTTGCTGTTTTAATGTAGTCATTAAATATTTTTTAAATTGTAATAATACCAGTTTTCAAACGAAAAATGGAATTTATAAAATAAATTTTTTTTTCGTATTTTGGTAGTTTTATATTTTTTCATGTCAAAATTTGTCAAAATCAAAAATCAATAATTTTTTTCAATATCATTAAGAAGCACCTTTATTTTTCTTTGTCTGTTTATTAAAAACTTGTATTATTATAATGACGTGGTTACAAAAGAAAATTGAATGCTATGTAAATTTAATGAATTATTAGAATATTCTATTATTATTACCCTATCCATTGAAAAATTCCAACCATATTTTGACTGATCTAAAACCAACAAAAATCCTAAAAAATATATGTGTGAATTGATTAATGCTACTTTAAATGTTCTTCCTTTATCCAATTAAACGAAAACAAAACTGTGTTGAATTCTTCATTTATCTAATTAAGTTGGAAACACTATTCAAAAGATTGAAAATAATATTAAACTAAACAATATGAAACATTTAATACTCATAACTCAAAAAGTGAAAGAATCATATTTTTTAAATAGTTTACTTAATAATATTAAAATATATAAAAAATATATTTTCTAATCTTTATCTTTCTTTTATTTTTGAAAAAATATTGTTTTAATAATATTTGTATATTAGTTAATGTTAATTTCATCTTGGATTTTCTTCTAAGCTTCTTTGCTCAAAGTATAATTAGTGTTATATATAAACTTGATTTTCTTTTTCAAATTTTATTGTCCATTCAATGAAACTAAATTCATTTGTCTTTAAGGCTCTAACAATAGTCTTACATAACACTCAGTTTATATTTGATAAAATCTTCTGGTTGTCATATTAATTTTATTAAATAAATTTTTCTTTTATTCTCTAACAAAAAGGAATTAATATATAATAAATAAAATTAGTCATAAATAAAAAAATAGTAATTTCAATTCAATCTCAACTAAAAATAAATTTCATATGTTAAGAATTATTAGTTTATATTCAAAATTATTTTATTATTAAAAATTTGATAAAAGCATGGCGTCATTTTTAATGGAATTTTTTTAAGAAGAATTAATCAATTTTTATAGAAAATTCAATTAAAAAAAAAACATAATTTTTATAAGAAA